CAGTGACAGACGCCGGATACACAAGGCCACACAGCGTGGGATTCCATTTATGTGAACCGTCCAGAATAGGTGTGTCCAGACAGGAAGTGGGTGAGTGGGTGTCAGGGGCTGGGAACGGGATTTTTTGGGTGATGGAATGTTCTGGAAGCGCAGAAGATGGTTGCACACCTCTGAGAATATACTACCCATCAGGGAGCAATCCACTTTAAAAGTGTGAGCTCTATGGTGTGTCACGCTGTCGTGAAAACCCCAGCAGCACGTGCACGGCGACAGGAGCCCACTGTCAGGGCTCTCGGCAGCAGTGACCTCCGTTGTGCCCAGGCCTGGGTGCCCCTGCAGCCTCAGTGCAGGTACACAGCCCCCATGCGACCAGCCGGATGGCCCCTTTACCTTCTCGCGGTCTCGCTCCTCCTCCCCCTCGTCACCCTGCTGTGGCTCTTCGTGCTCCTCCTCAGCGGCAGTGACAGTGGCATTCGCCCCTGGCTCTTCCTGCAGGAAGCCCAGTGGTGGGGGTTTGTGGTGGGACCCTGGGTCCGGGTGTCCCCTGCCTGTGTGCCCTAATCTGCCCTTGTGCCGGGACACCCTCTGACAAGCCCCAGGCCTCCTCCTGCATGCCACGTGTTGTGTCAGCAAGCAGGAAGTGCAAGTGGCCAGGAGAGCCGAGCGCCCAGAGCGGCCGGGCCCACCGACTTCTGTGTCGTGACTGCTCACGGCTGCTCCCCAGCTCTGCCACGAGGGCCAGACACTCAGTCGCTGCCTGGGCGAGACGGAGGGCACAGGAGCTGGCCCCAACCTGGCTCATCTGTGTGAGGGTCCCCTGACACCCTCCCACACCTGGGGCCTGGGTGGCCGGGAAGGTCTGATAGGTGATGAAGGGGAAGGGCCACTGTGGGCAGGACCCAGGAGTGTCCCTGCACTCCTCACGGAGGCAGCTGTGTCCAGCTGCGGACGGTGTGGGGCCGGCCCGCCCGCCGGCTCTTACCGTGGACAGGGCTGGGGCTGCGGCAGGCGGTGGCATGGTGGACAGCCAGAAATCTAAGTCTTCACTCTGAAACCAGACAAACAGGGCTTCGGCCGAAGCAGCAGGACGGGCCCGAGAGGGCCCAGGGGGAGCCTGCGGGGTGCCCCAGCAGGCCCAGGGCCACGTGGGCGAATACAGGAACCGCCCAGGGTTCCACCTAGAGCGGCTGGCAGGGCCCACGGTCCCCTCAAGCATGACAGGCATGCTGAGAGTCAGCCTCACCTTCTGTTCCTTCTCTTTCTTTCTCTCCCGCTCTTTCTCTCTGTGCTTCTTCTCTTTCTTTTTGGGCTTCTTGCTTTTCTTTCCCACAACGGGAACGTCCTCATTCTCAGGGGACTTGGAGGTCTCGGCGTTTCTGTGTTTCTGGATTGGCAGCTTCTCGCTGTCGGCTAAGGGCCTGCGTGGGAATGGGGGGCAGGTCACAGAAGGAGCCACCTGCCAGCCCATAGGCTCCAGATCTGTTCTCCCACGTGTGACCCAGCTACTGACCGGTTCTCTGGTATATGACCCTGCCACCCAACATATGCATGGCCCGGAGGGGGAGCCCTCTGCCACCCATTTTTTTCTGTACGTTGTGCAAAAAGCACAGGATGGAGAGGAACGGCGAGGACACAGACACACCAGGAAGACCCGGGCCTGAGTCCGGCCCCGCACTCACTTATCCAAGTCTATGTCCAGGGCCCTGTACGGGTCGTTGGGGTCTTTGTCATCCTCATCACTGGGCAGAGCGTTCTGAGGAAAGACAGGGACTTGGGGTCCAGGTCACCCAGCCCCTTCCAGACCCCAGCTCGAGCCCAGAAGCAACCCAGTCAAGATGGATGTCCAGCTCCACTCCTACACCCGAGGCGTCCAGTCTGGGCCAGGTGCTCAGAGTGGGCAGCAAGGCCAGGACGGGCCAGCACAGGCCAAGATAAAGGGGAAGCGCGAGGGGACGCCCACTCAGCCCAGCCTGCACCCATCCCCCGTCCTGGGCAGTGGCGAGGGCAGCCCGTGCCGGGCGGGCGGACCTCGGGCATCTCCTCGGTGACGATGTCCACCTGCTGGGCCGGGGCAATGTCCTCGTCGCTCTCGGTGTGCAGCGAGCTGTGGCGCCGTGGCTTGCCCTTCGCACCCTTCCTGCGCTGCCTGCGCCGCTCCTTCTCCAGCCTCTGTCGGTGCCGCCGCTGCTCCTCCAGCTTCACGTACTGCTCGGACGTGGGCAGGCCTGTGGGCGCGCAGCGCAGCTCAGCCCACCCGGCCCCAGGGCACAGGCAGCCCCTGCTGTCTGCGCTACAGGCCGAGGGGACTTGCGGGCACCATCCCTCGGGCCGCCTGGATGTGGATGGGGGCTTTCTGAATGATACCCGGAAATTGGGCTCTTGGTGTCCCGCCAATCTCGCCACCCTATCCTCATGCCGCCTGCTGTCCCCAGTTTGTCGGCACAGACACTTGCCTGGCACCTTCAGGGGCACCGAGAGGTCGATTTGCACCACGGGTATGTGCTCCACGCCGGGTGAGTCCTGGTACCGCTGCAGAGGCAAACAGCGAGGTGTTACTGGGTGGGCTGGACAGATGGATGACCCTGCCTAAGGAGGCCACCGCCCAGTGTGAGGCGCGCCCGCCTGGAGCAAGAGTACTCCTAGGGGCACAGTCTGCAGCACAAACAGGCGCTCCCATCAGCTCTTCCCTCTGAACCCTTTTCCAAGTTAGGAAAAAAGCAGACTTGACACCCTGGTGCGATGACAGACCCCCCTGTATGGCAGGACAAATCGGCCAGGAGACATGGGTGCGGCAGGGTGCGGCCATCATAGCCCTCGCACACAGCAGGTAGGGCAGGGTCTGCAGACCTCTCAGGAAGCTGAACGGGGTCACCAGGGGACCCAGCAATTCCAAGAAAGAAAGGACCCGAGCACCTGCCACATAGAGTTGGACACTTCAGGGAGCCCAACATGCTCCTGATGGTGGGCCACTGGCTGGAGGGTGCTAACAAAGGCAACGGGCACCACCCCGGACCAAGATCCAGAATGTTCCGGCCAGGTGGGACAGCCCCGTGTCCACCACCTCTGCAGCCTCCCGGGGCCGGCTGGTCAGAGGAGCCTGAACTCGGGCACTGTGCGTGGCCTGGCTTTATCCCAGGCCCCGTCCAGGAACCCCTCAAAGTCCTGCCCCTGGCTGTACTGAGACGGAGGCTTGGTGCACGCCCTGGAATGGCTAGGAGAATGTCTCTGGAGGACATTCCAGGCTGGCCTTACCTTTTGGGGAGACGGGGAACTTTTGATGTAGAATGGGTTGTTGGCCTGCTCCTGCTTCCGGGCTTCTCGACGCTGTGGGAACAGGAATCGAGGCCAGTGAACGCGTGGGACATGAACCTTGTGCCCTCCCAGCTGTGGGGCCCAGCCCTCGGCGCTTCCCCTGTGGGCCTTGGACTACAGGGAGACTGAGGTTGGTGGTGGGAAGGAGCAGGTGTGGGGACACAGCTGAGACTGGAGCCAGGCCGGGCCCCTGAGGAGCTCTGGGGTCGAGAGAAGAGAAGCTTCTCGTTCCGACAAAACTCAACTCTGACACCAAGGCTGGGCTCAGTCAGCACACCCAGGGGACAGTGGGGCACAGAGCCTGCTCAATAGGCTAGCTGCCCCAGAGCCACCGGACTCACCCGGGCCAGCTCCTCCTCGTCGGCCTCAGGTGGCCGCTGCTTAACGGGTCGCTGCTCCTCATCGTGGAAGATGGCCTTGGGCGTCTCGTCCTCAGACTCGCTGTCAGAGGGCGGCTCATTGATCCAGGCGTCCAGGTCCAGGCTGCAGGACACAGTGAAGTCACACAGTGGCTCCAGCCTGTGTACCTGACCCTGGGACACTCACAGTAGGGATCATGGAGAATGAGACAGAGCCCAAAGGACCCCGGAGTTGGGCTGTCCCTCACAGCCCTCCCTGTATTCTGGGCCCCCACGCGGGCTTGTGCTGCCTCCTGTAGAGATTTGTGGGCAAGGGCCACCAGCAGACCCACTTCCCAGGGGTAGGGGGACCAGGGATGGGACCAACAAGGGCCCACAAGAGTTGGTGAGCACCCAACACGGTCTACGTACCAGCCCGTCCAGTCTCTGGGGGCTCAGGCACGGCGGCCCTCCCTCCAGGCCCCGCCCTGCCCCACCTGGACGGTGTGGCACTGCTCCCACCACCCCTCCTGGGGCCAGCAATCCGCCCCCCGCTCCGTGTCCTCTGACGGAGCACACGGCTCACCCTTCGGGGACCGGAACCTTCTTCTGGGCTTTGGGAGCCACGGGGTTCAGCTCCCCGGCAAAGAGGGCACTCACTTCTTCTGCCACTGGCACGTCCTTGGCCTGAAGCTTCTGGATGTGCTTGACAAGGTGCAAGATGCAGGATGCCTGTGGGGACCACGGAGGGGCCACAGGTGAGTCACGGAGAATGGGGCTGTGAAGGCTACTCAGCACCTGCAGGGCGTCAGCCCATGCGGAGGCCCAGCCAGCAGAAGGCTAGAGTCCTGTTGGGGACATTCAGAAGGCTCCACGGGGAGCCTTCGGCCGTGAAAGGACCCAACCAGGAAGGAACCAACCCAACAACGGTCTCTTTCAACTAGAGGAAGTGAGAGACAGAAACAGGCCCACAAGCAAGACTTGAGGACCACAAAAGACATACTGTCCCATGAGAACCACCCAGGCGGGGCTGCACCCCAGATGCCAGCAGGGGTATGTAGCTCCAACACAGGGCTCCCAGGAGTGCAGTGTCTGGCCGCAGACTGCCGCGGGAACCAGGGTCCCCGGACACTGGGCAGGCTAACGTCACACATCTACCCTCGATCTCAGAGGACCGGGGTCCACTGAGGACTAGGAAGTACCGCGTGTGGTCTGGGGAAATGAGAAGCTCCATGTCGCCAGGGCGTCAGAAGCCAGGCCGCCTGACCGTCGATGCCCACATCGCTACTCTCAGCTTGCGCCAACCCAGCTCCTCTGCGGTGAGCAGCAGCGCGCCCACCCCCAGAACCCTACCACCACCTGGACGTCTCCCTCTTGGGCCGAATGACTCAAGTCTGCCAAACACATACCCTTAGATCGTCTCCCAGCAGACGCACACCCCCCATCCTCGCTGGGTGCCGCCTGTGCCCCCAGGAGCCCGCGGCCGGTGCGTACCCGCTCCTGGACCTCCAGGTCTGCGCTCTGCACGAACTGGGGCAGCCGCTCCACCATGAGCCGGGTGAGCTCCTGGGCCGCCTCAGCGTCCGCGTCCCGCTCCTTCTGCTGCAGGATGGACGCATACAGCTTCACCACGTTCTGCACGTACACCGCCTGGATGTGGCCTGGCAGGGTGGTGACCTTGGGCCGCAGCATGGCCTCCAGGGTCTGGTGGGGCTCCTGCAGATGCCTGAGAGCGGGGAGGCCAGGTGAGAGCACGCCCACCGCCCCTTACCGTGGGGTTTTCCAGGAGCTGGGAAGAGAGGCCAGGCGCCCTGCTATGGGGGATAGGGGGGCGTGCTCCAGACCCTGTCCAGCGACAGGGGCTAAGGAGAGGATACGAAAGAGGAAACTACAGTAATGACGTGACACAGACGACTCCTGAGCAGCCAAATAGAAAAAAGGAGGAAAACAAAAAGGAAAACTGTTCACTCGCGAGAATCTGTGAGGGATGAAGGGTATCGGGCAAGAACAGGAAGGCAGACTTAGGAAGAGACCTCGCGCCTGCGAGGACGACAGGTCCTGGGTCCCCCGGCTTACAGTGACTGGTCCCCAATGAGGAAGGGCCAGAACGCCATGCCAGGGGAATTGGGCTTTGGTGCAGCTAGTGCCAGAGAAGGGACTGCTGGGCACGCTCCCTCATCCCTTGTCCCTTCCTCTCGGGAACACAGGCGACTCACTCAGAGAACTCTCCGCAGATCCAGGCAGCGGCGTAGAGCACCTCACAGATCCCGTTGCGCTGGGTGCTGCTGGCCAGGAGGTGGGCGCTGTCAAGCAGCACGGACATCTGCGACACGGCAAACTTGCGGATGGCCTTTACGCGGATGGCCACGTCCAACATCTGTGAGGCGATGAGGTGGCCGTGGCGGGTGCCCTCCAGCCGGGTCAGCTCCGCCAGGATGCTGATGTACCTGCGGGAGGCGGCTGCTGAGATGCGCCCGGCAGGCGGCTTGTCCCGCGTGCCCGGGGCGGGGGACGCACCACTCAAAGTTGGTGATGTGCTGGTAGTTGGCTTGGCTGCAGATGTCGACGATCTTGGTCAGGAGCTCGTCCCGGTACGCCGTGCCCTCGGCCTTGTCCACATGGCTCATCAGCTTCTTGACGATCTCCATCAGGCTCTTCTTGGACACCTGGGGAGGAGGGGCGCTGGTGAGGGTGGGCTGGGCATGGGGACGCGGAGCCGTGGCCACCCCACCCGGGGGCACGCACCATTCCGTACAGGAGGTCGAGGGCACGCAGCCGGATGGACTCGTCCTTGTCATCCAGGCACTGCAGGACGAGGTCCTTGTGGGCCTGCACAGACTTGGGGTGTGTTCTCAGGATCTTGGACATGGCCAGCAACCCCAGGTACTTCACTGAGGGGACGCAAGACACAGACCCTGGTGCGCCACGACAGGCTCGGGGGCCGACACTGCCTGCAGCATGGCCCCCCGCTCAGCCCTGACGACCTGGGTGCCCTGGTGGACTCGAAGGATATTCTCAGGGTGGGACATAGAGAAGCAAGGGACAGCCCCCCTCCCGCTCAGCTGTTACCTTTGCTGTAGTTCAAAATGGTTGCCGACACGTTTTAAGTGTGGCAATTAACATGACACCCACCTTTCTGCCTGGCCTACACTGGGAGAGTAGATAGAGAAATCCCAGGCCCCACAGGCCCGGTGAGAACCTCACATACGAGGGGCCCCCGAGCGCCCCTGTAGGCCCCGATGCAAGATCATCTAAACCAGGAGTGACAAACTGCCACCCACAGACCATGTCCAACCCAAAGCCTGGTCTGTAAATGATAATGAACTGGCCCACAGCCACGCCCGTCACGTACATGTCGTCGCTGAGGTGGCTTCTGAGCTATAGCAGCAACGACCATGTGGTCTCAAGGCTAAAAAAGTTACAGGCTGGCCCTGCTCTGAACAAACAGCTCTGGAAGCGCTGGCCACCAGTGTCACTGGCTAGAACTTCTCAACAGAACACGTCTACAGAGAAAACATGCACGCAGCCACATAAACAAATGGCCAGCGGGGCTGTTTGGTCAGCTGGGAAAGCCACCAGTGAGCCGTGAGTCACCATAGACGAGGCCTCCCAGGGAGAACGCACACAGCTCCACAAAAGGGGAGTGCCTTACAGTTCTGATCGGAGTCTTCTATTAATATTCTCAGCTTCTGGACGCAAAGCTGCAAACAGGGAGACAGCACTGATGACGTGCCCCGAAGCAATGGCGTATACAGCAATGCCAGGCCCACCCACGCCCCCACGCTGTGCAGCACCCACCACGCAGGGCTGCCCACAGGTGCTGGCAAGGACGCTGACAGCAGCAGGCGCCCAGCATGGATGCATGGAAGGGCCCACGGAACACGCACAGGACACCCTGGGGCTTAACCCACCACGCAGGGCTGCTCACAGGTGCTGGCAAAGATGCTGACAGCAGCAGGCGCCCAGCATGGATGGGCCCACGGAACACGCACAGGACACCCTGGGGCTTCCCACACGTGCTCAATGTGTAAGGACACAAGGACAGCATGGTGGTGCTTTCTGTGCCACCATGTTACTTGTGCAATTTAAATATAACTCCAGCCCCCAAAACGACGGGTGAACATCACAACGGTCCCTAGGCCACTTAGGGAGCCCATGGGGCTCCATGCTCCAGGGTGGATATGGCATTTACAGGGGTCACAAAGAAGCTGGAGAGCCAGGGTGGTTGGGGACCTCAGGAGATGGGATAAAACAGCCATGTTTCTAGGTGGCTAGGGGGGCCAGGAGCTGCTGCACAGTGCAGGGTGCTGGGCATGAATGGTAGGGCATCTGTCAGACCATGGGGCGGGGCTTGCCAGGTGGGGACAGAGGGTAAGAGGCCCAGCGGTGGCTGGCATGGGGCTTACCTGGATGCTGGCGCTGTGGTTGGGCATGCCGGAGGACAGCGAGATGAGCACTGAAACAGACGGCCTTGGCTTAGGAGCCCCACGGCTTGTCCACTGTGCGTCCGGTGGGGCACCCGAGCCAGAAAGCCCACCACACCGAGAACGTTCGGCCTGGCTGGCTGGCCTTCATGCGGAGGGTAGACACACTGGGCTGGGGCGCTCCCTGGGAGGGCCGGCTTGCAGGGCTAGCCCTTGGTGGCAGCTGGAACTGGTTTCCGGGGCTCCTGCCACCACCCCGACAGGGCCCCCAGCGCTAAGCGCTCTGTGCAAACACACGGCTCACACCGAGCACCTCCCTCCCTCTCGGGTCTGGGGTATTGGACGTGCTGGCCAAAGGCGCCCACGTGACCAGCCCCTCATGGGGACCCTGAGCGCTGGGTCTCTGTGGCCAAGAGCAGATGAATGCTCCAGAGGCACCAAGCGTCTGCCCGAAACAGTTCCATGGAGCTCAAGCCACACCCTCCGGTCCAGTGCCCCTGTGACACACCAGGCCCCAGACAGGCTCTGCCAGACCCCCGCCCACCCCAGAGCCATTTCCAGTCCCGCCACACCCTGTCCTCGCCCCAACTTTCCAGAGACAGAAACCCTCTTCCCAAGGCCTACGTGCCCCACCTCCAGGCACCAGCCGCTGTGCATGCCCACCCTCACTCTCCACTGTCACAGAGCCTTGAGCGTCACAGCCCAGGCCACACAGCTACAGGCCTGGGGCACAGACTATGGGCCACCTTTCTACGAATTGCTAAACATGAGACTGTCCGCAGGTCCGCGAGGAGGGACCATGAGGCTGCTCCCCAGCCACTCTGGCCAGGGCGAGCAGAGGACGAGAAACTGAGTCCCCGAGCCGCCAGCACCCACCGCCAGTCTATAAGATGCCCGGCTGCAGGGACATGGGACCCAGACAGTGATGCAGGAGGCAGCCAGCCAGGTCCAGGAGCAACGGACACCAGAGGAGAGGGGCCCTGTGACTCCTCGGCGCTGTGGACACACGGCCATCCGCAGTGCCCCACGGGGCCCTGTGCCAGGTCCCGACCCCCACAAATGGCCTCTCGGGAGACCTTTCCAGGAGTACACGTGACTGCACTGCTGAGGACCCCTGCTCCTAGGTACCCGCAAGGGAGGTGAATAATGCCACAGGTTTGCTTAGAAACGGAACAGGGCCTGTGTCGGGTGTGAGGACTAGGCCACGAGCAGCAGGAGCTGACACCGGAAGCCGGGTGAGGGCAGTGGGTTCTGGCTGTGACACTTCCCAAGGGGTTCCAGGCGGGGCTGGGCGCGGCTCAGAGACAGGAGGAAACCTCCAGCGGGGAGAGGTCGTCGAAAATCTATGACTATGGGTGACCCTGCAACACACTGGTGGGGCCTGGGGATGGCCATCAGGGGCCGGCCTATTGCAAGTCCCACCACCAGGACCGGCACCCTCCTGTTCCAGAACCCAATAAGCAGCTCTCACCTGCGATGACGGTGTTCACACATTCGTAGAGAAGGGACATGGCAGACGTGCTGGGGGAGGGAACAGACACGAGGCGTGAGGGCTGAGTCGCGCTACTCTGCGCTGTCTGCGAAGACACGGCTGTGACAACTGAGGTCACATCATCAGAAGCTCAGGGCAGGGAGATGCAGCGAGCATCCCCCTCCTAGTCACCACAGGTGGCTGAGGCGTGAGGGCTGGCTGAGTCGCGCTACTCTGCGCTGTGTCTGCAAAGACACGGCTGTGACAACTGAGGTCACGTCATCAGAAGCTCAGGGCGGGGAGGCGCAGCGAGCATCCCCCTCCTAGTCACCACAGGTGGCCATGGGTGCCCTTTCCCCTAACCTCCCAACTGTGTGACATCCATGAAGGAAAGCCAAATCCCCTTCATGCTCTGGAAGCATGGAGAAAATTCTAGCAGCCTGAAACACCACTGCCTGGTTGTACTGTGACAGGGAGCCTGAGGGGCAGTCACGTGTGGCCCCACATGGGCAGGCAGAATACAGAAGCCCGGGCCCCAGTGCGACCCTGTCTGGGAAGCACAGCCCAGACTGACGACCGAGGCAGGCACCGAGTGCATCTGCCCCCGATACTCCTTCCCACGGGGTGCTCTCGAGCCCAATCACCCATGTGCCCCACGGAGCACGGCCGTCACAGCCGGTCCACATGCCGGTCACGTGGCCGATGGCCTTGTGATCTTCTCTGAAAACCAGAGCTGCACTGTAATCTCTGTGACTTGTTATTTACAACCAAAACTGTCCCAAGCCCAGAAATCTGTTGTAACTATTTATCTTCCAGCATCTCATCGGATGGTGAGCCAGGAGGCTGAAGCCCGGGGGAGGGCGGGGACTTGCTGGAGGCCAGCGCCCCACTTGGGGGTGCATGCAGCTCTGAGGGCTGAGGCAGCCTCAGGGCCCTATTCCTTCCCGGGGTTGGGGAACCTTGGGAGCAGATCTACCCAGCCAGCTCTTCACTGAGCCCACCGAGGCCCATGGTGACCGGGGGGTGGCGGGGGCTGAGTGGGGCGCATTTCCTCCCTTTCTTTTGTTTCCTGTTTCAGAACCTGAGGGGACAGCAGCCCAGCCATGTCCCAGGAGGGTGGGCGGGTTGCCGAGCACAGCCCTCTCTGGAGCACTCACACTGCGTGTTTGCATCTTGATCCAGAACATTCCCTGGGCTGCCCCAGGGAGCACAGGCCTGCCCAAGGCTCACCTGTGGATCAGGTTGGTGAGAGGCTCGATCAGCTTCTTGCCCAACCTCGGCTCCAAGGGGGTCAGAGCACCAAACTAGGGAACGAGAGGCCAGTGAGCCACAGGCAGCAGGGGCGGGACAGCACGTTCACGTTTCCGCATCACAGTGGCCAAGCCCAACCGCTTTCCCCACATCGAGAGCTCCCAGGACACCCCACGGCCTTGCCACAGCCGAGAGGAAGGAAGGTCGGGCCACTTGCCAGCTTGATGATTTTGATGAGGACCCAGTTGTTAGTGGAGGAGGTCATCAGCTTGAAGAACAGCGGGGCCAGGGAAAGGTAGTTTTTGGGGTTGCGCCTGGCCAGCTCGCAGATGACGTTGACCGCTGCCGACTGGACCCCTGTGAAGTAAGAGGGATCCCCATTAATCAGAGTGTTCCTCAGCAGACTGGCCATTCCACGTCAGTGCCCCCACCTGTGCCCGGTGCTGCACCCATCACCTGTGGGCACAGCCCAATCCCCAACCCCTCGGAGCCCTGACCACCAGAGGGCCGAGAAGCAAGGCCAAGGCAACAGGAATCGTCCCTCACCCAAGGCTGCGGGGCTGGGCCATACATGATCCAAGAAACATGAGGAGCAGGCCACTCACTACGTGAAGGGACCGCGTTTCCCTCCACCAGGAGAGCCACACTCCTGCGCCCCCGCCCGCCATGCCTGCTGCCTTGGCTGCTGCCACCCAGACGGACCTCTCGGCACTCTGTTAACTCTCCATGACGTAGGGCGGAGCCCCCCCGAGACATGTCGGACCCTGAACTTGGTTCGAAGAAGCTATTCTATATCTGTTCAGCCCAGGGCCCCGCGGAGGCCAGTCCGGGCCCTGTGTGGCGTGTGGAGGCTTTGGGGTGAGCTCATGCAGCCACCATGCAGATGGCCAGATGAGCCCTCCCCAGTGCGCGGGAGTCTACTGAGGGCCTAGCACATGCGTGCCCCAGAAGCACAAGCATACCCAGCACCCTGATCTTGGTGCCTAAATCCTGCACCAATAAACAGGATCAGGGCTGCCTGGAGAAATGGCGGATGCCAGGGCCCGACCTCCCTGCGGTGGCGCCAGAAACCTTCTGGAGATCTCTGGGGGCGGGGGTTGTAACTCAGACCTCTGGGGACCTAGCGCCCTGTACGCCTACCTCATATTGCCCCCACCAGGCCCCAGACACTGGCTGAGCGCTATGGCCCCGCACAGTCCCCATCTTAAACCAACGAACCAGGGTCAGGGTCCTCCAGCTTCTCTTTCAGGCGGGGAAAGGCGGGGCGCAGAGACTCGGGGTACTTCAGAAACACCTTGTACATGATCAGCACAGCCTTCTTCCGGATGTATGGCTTGGTGTGCGACATCTGTAGGAGCAGATGGCAGTCAACTCCCCTTGACACTATGCCCTGTGCACCTGCATGCTCACTGGCTATGCACACCTGTGTGCTCACCTGCCACACCTTCCCTGCTCACCTGGATGCTCCCCTCCCATACTGCCTGCTCACCTGTGTGCACCTGTGTGCTCACCTGCACAATCACCTGCATACTCACCTCCACACCTGCCCTGCTCACCACCTACACGCTCGCCTCACACACTGCCCTGCTCTCCTACACATGCCCACGTCTCACCTCCGTTCCCCGGAAGAAAATCCTTTCTCCACCTTCCAGCCTTCAAGCCCCACCAACCCAGGGATCACTCAGCGGTGTCCTGGACGGAACGGAAACCTGCCTCCCTGCGTCTGCGACCCTAGGCCTGGCCTCCGCAGGCTGACTTTCCTCCTTGGCTCCCTGGGGCCCAGTGAAGGGCCTCGGGCAGGAAAGGAAGGCCACACTGCGAAGAGTGCCTCTGCCTACCAACATGGGCCTCCGGCGGCCCCCAGTGCAAGATGCCGAGGGGCCGAGGCCCCCAAGTGCCTCCTCCTGAGAGAGCTATCCCAGCCCTGAGAGCGGCTCGCTAGTGCCCCCTGTGGGCTCCGCACACTTTCTGAAATCATCTAAAGGTCAAGATTTTTGGCTGGGTGGGCCAGGTCGCTAATCCAACTACTCGGCTGTCTTTGAGCCCAGAAAGTGCCACGAGACTATGTGAACAAATGGGTGGGGCCGTGTTCGCATAAAACGCCTGGTGGCCACCTGCCGTGCTGCCCGATCTAGAAGCTGATTCACTGGCAGTCCTCTCGAGACTGTGGGCTGGGACCTGCTCAGGTGCACAGCGAACAGGCTGACCGTGTGAGAACAGAGCCACCCTCCATGAGGCTTTAATGACAAAGGAAAAAGGCTCCCCTGGGAGCTGGAGACCTGGCACAGTGTCTTGGGAGGTCGTGATTTCCAGGACATCCATGTTCAGGGTGACGTTCTAGACACCCTGGAGGCCAGGACTGACTGGGATTATGCCTCTCGGGTCAACTGAGCCCTGAGCAGTCAATCTGTGGTCAGACAGCGATAAATGGCATCGGGATGGGGAAGGAAGAAAAGCGTCACCCTGATTATGCCACTTGTTGAGACAACTGCTATGGTCACTTAAGCTTCAGTAAAAAAGTGACTGACAGGTCGTGTGCCTGACCATATGGGTGAACGTCTTCAGCCAGACCTCACCCACCAGCAACACCTACCCCTTCCCCAAATGGGACTATTTCAAAGAAGATAAAGAAAAAACGTGAGAATCACAGTGATGGAGATAAAGCCACTGCCTGTGTCCTCCATTCCTCCCGGGGACCCCGGCCCACTTCCGCATGCCTGAGAGCTCTTGTGTGACATTTAGCCTCGGCTCTCCCCGCACCCATGCTTTCCAAATCCCCTCACAGAGCAAAGGCCGAGGGGTGGCAGCACGCTTGCTAACTCACCAGTGTCATGATGTCGTTGGCCAAGTCTCTGGCAAGATCTGGGGTAACAAAACAGGACAGGCCGGTCAGTGCCACACCAGTGTCGTACTGACTGGGGCTGCTCAGGTCCTGGAAGGGGAGGGAGAGGGTTAGGGGCAGGCACCAAGCACGCATCTCCTCGGTCCCCATGCCCCTGCCAGCCCGAGGAGTAACATGGAGCAGCCGGATCCTCACTGTCACCAAGATAGGAGTGGCATGGGTGTAAGAGGAGGGTGCCCCCGTACCCCTCACGGCCCACATCCGAGGGGTGCAATGAGGCCTGGGCTCCAGAGGAAGCAGCTTGGCCAGCTGGCCCCAAACACCCGTCGAGCCCACGGCAGGAGAGCCCTGGCACCTCTGCTTCCATTGGGGTGTCTCCCCCACAAATAGGGGCTACTGCTCCGGGACCCTCCCAAAGCAGAAGATTCAGCCTGCACCCCACTCCACTCTGATGCCATCTACCAGCGGCCCTCCACCCTACTCTCACCAAGAGCGGTGGCAGGAGCGTCCCCGCTCTTGACGTGTGGCAAGGGCTGTTTTATATCACAAGCTCGCATCTGGGCAGACATCTCGTAAAGAGCCCCCAAAACTTTCATACAAGCACGTGTAGCGAAAAATACCAAGGTGTAATCTAGGAGTTAAGCTCTAGAGCATACTAGTGATATGGAAATGGTCGCTTTTAAAGTCCCTCCAGGCCACGCTGAAGAGAAATCCACCACCTAGGAACCCACAGCGCAGAATCCAGGCCCGACCGGCCAGACTGTCCTCCCAGTGTGAGGCGCAAAGGGCCAGCAGCGCGCCTGACACAGCTGCTCAGAAGCAGGGCTCTGCGGAGCGGGAGGACGCCCCGCCTAACAGGCAGGTCTGCGGCAGCCGTGCTCAGGAGTCTCGGGTTCGGTCAAAACGGAAACACAGACTGCCAACACCCGGGATGCGAATGAGAGGGACGGAGGTGGTAGGTGGGGCTGCGTAAAAACGGGACTCTGTGCGTGAGGCTGAGACTGCAACGGGCAGAGGGCGCAGCAGCAGTGGTCAAGGTCGTTAAGTCTTACTACAATATCGTCTGTTCAGGTGTGAGGACGTCTCAGGCTTGGGCCATCTCCCCAGCAGGGTAGGTCTAAGTGACTGCCTTTAGCACATCTCAATGGGAAGCAGTGACAGATCTATGCCTAAATCGAGGTCATGACTAAGGGGCAGGCAGGGGACAGGATGCGCCAAGATGACCAGCAGGAAAACCACAGCTGGGCCTCGGCAGGCTAGCTGGCATCCTGGTACCCAGGCGACCAAAGCCCCTTCGCTCTCCTCTCTTTTGCTCCCCTCCCATTTACTGTCCCAGTGCCCCACAGGGAGTGCTCGCCCAGCCCCATCCTCCCCAGAGCCACTCCCGGCCAAGGCCGCCCCACCCGCCCCGCCCCAGCATCTAGACTCTAGCACCGCTGTGCAGCCTTGCCCGGAGCTGTGAGTCTGTCCCCCAGAACCGCGAGTGTGGCAGTGCCGAGTTCCCAGACCCACATCTCAGCCCACGCCAGGCATCAGTACCCAGTCAGTGCCGGCATAGCCAGCCTGCCTGACCAGAGCATCCACTCCAAGGTCACCAGGTCACCATGCGGGGTGACCAGCACTCGTAGGAATCTGGCCCTAGCACCCCAGAGCTATGGTCTCCAGCAACACGGTCTGGGAATGGGAGCGGGGAGTCCCCCATTCCCACCGACATGCCCTCTGCCCTCTCATCGATCAGGTAAGAAACAAAAGATGCTCACAGTACTGGAGCCAGGGAGGAAATGTATTACCCAGTGATCTTCAAAAGCCACTTTAAAAACACGCTTACATGCGACTGAAATATGCACATGGTCTGACTTGAAAGGCCGGGGGCAGAACCTGCACGGGGAGGGGGCGTAACCTCAGCAGGCACTCCGGGAGAGGACAGCAACCAACAGGGGACAGAAGGGCAGCGCGGCGAGCCTCCGCCGCCCCCGCCAGCCCAGGTGCAAGGGCAGACGGCTCCGCCAAGTCTGGTGTCTCTTGCTAATGACAAGGCTGCGGGCGCGGACTGCTTGCTAAGGGAATGACAGCAAGACCCTGCTGACCTCAGCGCCTTCCACTCAAACGTGAGTGTCAGAAAACCAGCGTGCAGAACAGACACTCACAGGGGGTCAAAGGAGCCCGGCCAAGAACGAGGAGGCCATGGGGACTGCGGGACGGGCGGCCTACCTTGCGGATCTGGTTAGTCGTCAGCATGATGACGTCAGTTCCTTCGTGAAAGCACTGGGAAGCAGCGAGGTAGCCGATGCGCTGTTGGGTCGAACAGACGGAGCGTGAGAGGTGAGACGAGGGGCCCGAGTGCCCTCTGGGAAGCTCCTAGCCCTTCGCCTGAGCTTGGCCCCGAGCAGCCCCCAGGCCCAGGGGCCACAGCTGGGTGGGCACGGGAAGTCATTCAAGAACCTAGCCAGGGTCTGTAAAACTCCAAGAGCATGTGGTTATCGAAACCGACAGTCCTTTAAGGTCTGCCAACCACAGAGCCCTCACTAACGCTGTACTTCCACTCGTCAGCCAGGAACTGCTTTGACAACCTCATGCAGGAAGTCATCCCAAGTGCTGGGTTTTCCTGGGCTCGAATCTCTGCCAGAATGATGCGGCGACCTCGTCACATCTGCACGTGTATGTGATGCCTCAGCCCTCGTGCCGAGCACCGCCTGTTTTGACAAGCGTGGCATTTTATTTAAGAGTAACTGGCACGCAGGACGACTACGTCCTTCAAAGCAAGCTTGGGCCTGACCATGGCAAGGACCCAGAGGCAGGTGCTTGGGGCCCTCGGGGCAGGAAGCAGCCTCAGCCGCCAGCCAGTATGCGTTCTCACTGAAAACCAAGCCGATGCGGGAAAATTAAACGGAACACCCACACACAGGCCAGATCCTGATGACTGTTTTTCAGGCTATTTACTAAAAATGGGAAACACGCTTATGTTTAACATCGAGTGAGAAGAAAACAGTGTCCCAAGTTGCTCACGGGTAGTGTCCCTCAGAAGATGAACACGAGGCCACAGGACGAGGTGACGAGTGATGGTCTCTGGGTAAGATGGTCAGTATTATTTTTAAAGAATTACAAATTTATCTTAATTTGTACTAAAAGTATATATAACTGATCACATAAACTCATACTTTAAATGACGTTACTTAAAATTGAAAGAAAAATACTATGTAAATAGCATTAATAATTGACAAAATCTGTGAAGGTATGGTGGCTGCGTGGCTAAAGTTTGACCAAAATAGGTCACTAGTGTTTTTGTTACCCTATTTTTTTGCAGCACAGCCTCTGCCCATAGGACAGACGGTATAGGTGGCCAGGGGACCCCCTCCTCCCTCCACCAAGGCCCACTCCTCCCCAGCTCCCATCGCCATGGCAACAGGCCCCAACGCAAAGTACCTTGAATGTGAACTTGGAGGCGCTCATCACTTCTATGATGTTGAAGGCAGCCCAGCTGATGTCATACCCCAACATTTGCAACTGTTGAGAAGGAAGAGACTCATTCACAAGCCAAAGCTTAAGCCCTAAATCCCAGCATCCTGTCTTGGCTTGTGGAAGGACACGCGCCGTTTGCAGTCTGAACACAGCCCAGGGTATCTCATGTCTTCTGACCAGTTAGCCTTCACCTTGCAGAATACAGGGACAGGTGACAGCAAACACTATGGGACTATGGATGGCTGCAGCTGAAATTCCAGCAGCCGTGCTTGGTTAAAATTCCCTACGATGATACTCATGAAACCTACAATGAGAGGGGACGCCCGCCCCACAAACCCCGAGTCGCCCTCTCTGACCAGGAAAGAGGTCAGGAGGCGATGCCTGGCCTAGGCTCCCACGCCGACCAGGGATCGTAGCAGTCTGGCAGGGAACCATGCAGACACCCGGCCCAGAACGGTTCAGAGCCCCTCTGCAGGCTTCCTAGTGCCACTCACAGGGAGCTGAGGGTGCTCCTGCTGACCTCCATGTGGTAAGGGCCCTACTGGTCCCTGGGTCAGGGGGTCCACCACACCCTGTGCCATCTGATAATCCTGGCACCCCGCCCTTCCTCCCTATCTCGACTCTAAGAATTAGCCCTGTATGCCCTGAGGCCAGTGCCTAGAGCTGAGAGTGTCAAGCAGTGTTTGGCAGGTGGACGATGGACCAATGGATGAAGGGATGGATTGATAGATAATGGATAAGTGGATGGAGGGAGAGATGGACAGAAAATGGACAAGTGGATGGAGGGAGAGATCGAGTCGCCCTCTGACCAGGATGGATGGACAGACAATGGATAAGTAGATGGAGGGATAGATGGACAGACAATGGACAATTGGATGGAGACATAGATGGACAGACAGACAACAGACAAGTAGATGGAGGGATGGACAGATGGATGGACAATGGACAAGTGGATGGAGGGACGGATAGACAGACGAACAATGGATAAGCAGATAGAAGGATGGACGGGTAGATGGACAACGGACAAGTGGATGGAGGGATGGATGGACAGACAATGGATAAGTAGATGGAGGGATAGATGGACAGACAATGGACAACTGGATGGAGACACGGATGGACAGACAGACAACAGACAAGTAGATGGAGGGATGGATGGACAGATGGACAATAGATACGTAGATGGAGGGATGGATGGACAGACAAATGGACAAGTGGATGGAAGGATGGACAGACATACAATGGACAAGTGGATGGAGGGATGGACGGACAGACGGACAATGGAAAGGTGGATGGAGGGATGGACGGACAGATGGACAATAGATAAGTAGATAGAGGGATGAACAGATGGACAATAGATAAGTAGATGGAGGGATGGACGGACAGATGGATAATGGACACGTGGATGGACGGATGGATGGAGAGACAATGGACAGGTGGATGGAGGGATGGTCGGGTGATGGAGTCAACAGCTGGCCTGACTGCATGGAGGGCACAGAATGAGAGCATCGCTCGGAAGCACCGCCCAATCACAGAGCCGCGGTACTTACATACGTCAGCTTGCAGACTGCGTTTGCTTTCACAGCGATGTTGTCTTGCTTCAGTTCTTGCTTGATTTCATCGATGCACTGAGAGATATACTTTGCCTGAAAGGAAAAGAAATTGAGAAATTTTGAGTGCCTAATACAGTTAAGAACAATTAGACAATGGGTAAGTGGATGGAGGGATAGATGGACAGACAATGGACAACTGGATGGAGACACGGATGGACAGACAGACAACAGACAAGTAGATGGAGGGACGGATGGACAGATGGACAATAGATAAGTAGATGGAGGAACGGATGGACAGATGGACAATAGATAAGTAGATGGAGGGATAGATGGACAAATGGACAAGTGGATGGAGGGATGGACGGGCAGATGGATAATGGACACGTGGATGGACGGATGGATGGAGAGACAATGGACAGGTGGATGGAGGGATGGTCGGGTGATGGAGTCAACGGCTAGCCTGACTGCATGGAGGGCGCAGAATGAGAGCATCGCTCGGAAGCGCCGCCCAAGCACACAGCCGCGGTACTTACATACGTCAGCTTGCAGACTGCATTTGCTTTCACGGCGATGTTGTCTTGCTTCAGTTCTTGCTTGATTTCATCGATGCACTGAGAGATATACTTTGCCTGAAAGGAAAAGAAATTGAGAAATTTTGAGTGCCTAATACAGTTAAGAACAATTATTTCAGAAAGAAGCCAGATGCAAAACAAAAGGTCATGCGGCATTTGATTCTGTTTAAGTGACACGTCCAGAAGAGGCAAATCCACAGAGACAGGAAGTGGATTCTTGGTTGCCAGGAGCTGGGGGAAAGGGAAAAGGATGACTTCATGGGGAGGGGATTGCTTTTTGGCATAACGGAATGTTCTAAAACTGATTGTGGTGACAACTGTGTGCTGTGAATGTAGCAAAAACCACTGAACTGTACATCTAACGATGCTGTTATTAAAAAATACATTTCAATGCAATGAGATCTGTGGCTCCTTCACAGCCCTCCTGAGGCACGGGAGTGAGGCTGGAAGGAGAGTAGCTGGCTGGTGAGGGAAAGGAAGAGCCAGGCCCCTGTGGCCACCCAGGAAGAGCATCAGGTGCACAAAGCACAGGCAGGCCAGATGGCGCTGGTCCTGGGGCTGTGACCAGGTATGGGGGCACAGACAGGGAGCCGGGCTGGGGGGAGATCAGCTGTGAGCGGCCACTCTAACCCTTGGTGCCCCAGGCATCCCGGTGCTCCCAGGGCACCAGCCACATCTGGCTGGCTGCACACCAGCCCACCACTCACTGGGCAGGCTCCTCTCAGCCTGATGCCCACCGGCTCCCAGGTCCCCTATCTCTGAGCTTGTCACCTGGGCAGCCTTTCCACAGCAGCAGTAAGCCTGATTAGGAATCTGTCTGTGGCCCCCTGCCTCTCTCTGAGCAATGATGTCAAGGCCCATCCCAACTGCAGCAAGCATTGGTGCTTGGCTCCGCGGGCGCATGGACCACAGTGTGTGTGTCTGCTCCTGGCGGGTGGGCGCTTGGGCCCCTCCCACTTTTTGGTTCCCATGCATAGTGCTATGTGAACATTTTTGTACGTTTGTGTGATCATGGGTTTTCCATTCCCCTGGTTTCCTCACTTACTCAGCACATCTCCTAACACCATTCAAAAAGGCTCGACCGAAGCGGTACTAACCCTCAAGGTCCAGAGTCCCTGATGCGCCCTCTGGGAGCAGCAGTGCAAAGCTCCCGTCATCCCCGGAGACAAGCCATGGCAGCCCCAAAGAGTGGTCACCATGGGGTTCAGAACGAGTCCAGCCAGCGCTCCATGACGCACGAGGCGGCACGCTCAGCTACCTGACACAGCAACACAGCTGTCCGGCTGGGGGCTGGGGGCTGACATACCCCACTGCGCCCCCCCCGAGGCCATACCACAAGCACGCAGGGCAAGGGGGCCGGGGGCCGCTGCTGCACATGCCCCAGGCTCGGATCCCTAAGGGTGGCCCCAGAGCTCCCTCCTGCCATCATCTGTCACCAGGACCACACCCCGGGACCCTTGGCTGCCCCAGCACAGGCCACAGGGAAAACCACTGCTGGAGCACTCTTAGCCACAGAACGTTTTATAAATATTTTATGGTCAAGAATTGGTACAATGGAACAAGCGTCACCATATCCTTGCAGCGGGCTTCAGATTACTAAACCCCGCTCAGGGGACCTTGGCTCCTGTCCCTTCCTGCCTCCTGGATCATGACCATTAACGACCTAAAAGGGAGGGAATAAGAAGCCCATCACGAGTGTCGGAGAAGCTGGCCACACATGGCGGGCGGGGTGTGCGTGGTGCAGCCGCTGGGGAGAACGGTCCGCAGTTCCTCCGGAGGGAGACAGGCCCCCGCTCGCAGGCAACCCCCCGAGAACACTGACAGCAGGTGCTCGAGCACACACAGGCCCCGAATGTACGATTTGTGGCAGGCCTGAAGCAGAAACAACGCAAACGTTCAGCGGCTGTGACGGGTGAACACAACGTGGCCCACCCGCCCGTGTCACCTGTCGGGGCGGCGGGGCAAGGCCCACTTCCAGCAGTGTCTGCGCAGCCCCCGTCAGCCCAAGTCCCCACAAGCACTGTTTAACAAGAGCCTTCCGTAGACACCAGAGGCGAGCAAAAGCCCTGGAGAGTGTCCTGTTTCTCGCGGCTTTTATCTTGGGTGCCGTGCAGAGAAGCTGGGACCAAGAGGAGACCTGCGTCCAATTGGCTTCAAGAGCCAGAGCTAAGTTTGGGGTGAACACAGCTGCTAGAAGTGAGAAGGGAAATCCCAGAGAAGACAGAGATGGGGGTTCCGACATTCTGCATGTGAACTCAGCCCAAACCTCTGGTCGACCCATAACCACGCACGCGCAGGCACGTTCCACACAGCCCAGCCCAAGCGAAAAAATTAATGTGTTTTGTGAGCCTCATGCCCCTTCCCTGCAAGAGGGGCCTGCCAAACAAAGCCCCTCCCCACAGAGTGCACACCCCGCCGAGAACATAGCGAAATCCAGTCTCCACGGGTCCTGTTTGCAATGTTCAGGACAGAACCCAAAATTATTCAAAATGAGAAATAGGAGAACATAACCTAAACTCAGGAAGAAAAGATAACCAGCCATGAAGACCAGCCCTGAGAGAACCTAGCTGTCGGAATCAACACAAAGATGTCAGTCCAGCAACTGCAACCACATTCACAAAACGAAACGAAAACATGCTCACAATGAAGAAAAAGAGAAGAAACCTCAGCAAAGAAAGTGACATAAAGCCAAATGGAAATTATAGAATCGAAAGGTAATTTCCAAAACAAAACATTCACAGAATACACTGAACAGCAAATTGGAGAAGAGCCAGCAAATTTGAAGGTAGAACCACTGAAATCACCCAGTTGGAAGGAGAGAAAGGTTTTAAAAACAGATGACTGTAGCCTCGGGGACTGTGGGACAAAAGGTGTACCATATGTATAAGCGGCGTCCCAGGAAAGGACAGGACAGGACAGGGAAACTATTTGAAAAAATGATGACTTTCCCAAATTTGATGAGACTGAAACGTACAGGTTCAAGAAGCTCAGCGCCCCCAATAGGAAACAAAACCCGCACGCAGACGGACAGCGGCCAAAGTGCTGGAGACGGAGCAGAGCGCGCGCCCGCCTTCCAGGCAGCCGGGGACGTGGCAGGCTGCAGAGGAGTGTGGCTTCCAACTGCCGCAGGAGCAGGGGCCACGAGACGCTGGGGACACCCACCCCTCCGCGGGTTCCCTGCCCAAGCACGCATACCTCAGGAGTGAAGGCAGAACCAGAGCCCAATGGCACCCACCACCCCGCCCGTCACAGCACTCACCAGGAGGACAAATGGGACCCACGGAAAGGAACTGACGCTCCGGAAGACCCTGCCTGAACCTTTTAGGTATAAAACAGGTGTGCAGACTCATGGCTCTTCCACACAGGACAAGGGAGGACAGGTGATAAAACAGGAAGGGAATCTGCTTTGCCCTCACTTGGGAGCGCTAACCGGCGACCTACGACAGTCATGAAAAGTTAAGTGAGGGATGTGACGAGGGTGAGCATGTTAATTTTTTATATCCATACGGCACTGCTAACGGAAAGTAGAATATTTATTCCCCCTTTTACAAGAAACAAACAAACAAACAAAAAACAGCCAGGGTATGCAGACATCCAGACGCAGGAAATTATGTTGTGAAGGTAAATTAGAAGTCCTTTAAGGTGCGAAGCGTGAATGGCTACGCCTCACCGGCACACTTCCGGCAGCAAGCAGAGGTGCAGCACGCTAAAGGCGCCCCGCCTGCCCCATGCCCGGAGCCCCGAGCCTGCCACATTCCCCTTGGGGCAGTGGAGTGTGCAACACAGCTGCCCATTTTGACGTCTTTTTCCCAGTGACAGAATTTAATTTGGAGCACAGGATACAAACATCCTTCATAGATGAACCCCCTTTCCACCCTGCTGCTTGGCAGAGTTCCCGGGCTCATCCCTGGATGAGTGGAGTCAGGATCTAGGGGTGAGGCCCAGAGAGCCTGTGTTTTCACAAACAGTTGATTCCGAGGTGCCAGCAAGCCCCAAACCACTTCCCCGGCGTGGCCCAGTGTCCCGGGGGCAAAAGCGCCCAGTGAGAGCTACTGCCTGAGAGCCAGGACACACACTTCGAGGACATGGGAACCGCAGGTTGCGGGGGGCAGCAATGCGAGGGGCCCTTGGGGAAACCGAGAAACTCTGTCTGTGAGAGAAGGGGCGGGCGGTTACGGCGGGCAGCGCGTCTCTGCAGCGGCCCATCTGCACGATGGGCTTCTCTTTTCCTTTATTCCTAAATTATTCTGAATGTAATTTTAATTACAATTGACATTCAGTGTTACTTTCGTTTCAGGTGTATGAGTCAACCGATGTTTATGTGCCTTACGAAGTGATCTATGACAAGTCTGGTACCCACCTGTCCCCCTATGTCGTCATTACGATGCACTGGCTCTTCCCCACGCTCTACGTTATGCTCCCGACTTATTTCATAACTGGAGGATGGACTTTTCCAGCACAAGTGGGAACAGGGTGCATGGTGGGCCAAACCAGGGCTGGTGTCTTGCGAGGTGGACGGCAAGCAAGGTGGTGGCAGGAGAGCAGCTGGAGGCCAGGCTGACGTGGTTCCAAGGGATGAGGTGGCGTGGCTGGGGCCCTCCCGCCTCCCCTTTGTGAGGACCCTGGGCCTCTGGGAACCTAAGATCATGACCTTGACTTGATCCCACTTGCACAGTCCCTCGGCCACATGAAGCAACATGTCCCGGACTGGGATGGGGACACCGCTAGGGACCATTATTTAGCTGACCAGTCAGATCACCCAGGGCCTGGGGGAGAGACCGAGACAGCAAGGAGACTAGGGGATGGAGAGTCCAGCCCTACTCGTCCTCCAGGGCACGGGCAACCCAGCTGCAAGACCAGTGGGTCCGGAGTGTCAGTTCCAACCCCGGGGCCCTGAACAGCAGGCAACATCAGCCCCAGGGGCAGAGGGGAAGGGTCCAGTGTCAACGTGGGCTTTGCAGGTTGATGAGAGGGAGCCACGTCGGTGAACATGGGCAGTACCAGCTCAATCCAGGGTCCCCACTAGTAGCTGATCCCAGGATGTGGTTAAATGTGCCTGGATGTTGTTGGGGACAACCCTTGTGAGAGGGACCAGGGGTGTAGGGGAGCTGGGAGATCCCACGCAGGTCTGGCCCTGACCGAAGGGCCAGGGAGGAAAGGCCGGATGGAAGTGGCTTAGAACGTTCAGCAAGGCCAGTCTCCGGCCTGGGGGAACACTCCAAGGGGCGCAGAGGGAGGCCTCCGCTGCCTCGAGAAGCACAGGGAGCCTCCAGGAGCGAGGTCAAAGTCAAGTGCGAAAGCAAAGGCAAAGGGAGGTGGCCAGTCACTGGATACTCGGCACCAGGCAGCAGATGCCAACACAACGCTTCCCAGAAGCCATTCCACCCAAACGCCGACAGTACGTGCCGAGCTCGTGCTCACCTGTGGAGAGCAAACAACTGGAACCGATGAAATGCCCACCCGAGGGGGGCTGGCCAAATACCTGAGGCGAGGCCTTCCTGAGCTCACGCGGACAGCTGTCACGAGACCACTACACCCACGGGCAAGTCGCGGCAGCCTTACTACACTCGATCACCGGTGATTTCGACGCACAGAGCAAAACCTCAAAGGATAGACACCAAACTGATCTACAGGGAGAGACAGTGTCCCTTTTAACTTAATAAACACCTAGTATATTACACAGTTAGGGCTGTAGTTTTATAAAGATTAAAAGTTTCACCCCAAATATGAAAAATATCCGAGGATGAAATATTGAGTCGTTTGGGATTTCTCCTAGCCATAGCTGACCTGTAGGACAGTCACCAGATTCCCCCCACTGCTGACATCATCCTTGCCGTATTTAAAGACGATAAATTCAAGCTCACCAAAAACGTGTGAATTAGACCACTGTTTTTCAAACTTTTGGGACTCATTTTAAGAGACATGTTTCCCGTGGTAACCCAACACACACACATGAACATGCTTGGCATCCATAAGCCGAAATTACAATTTTAAGGAAGTTACTCTACTACGTGCTGCATGCAGTCTGGGATTTTCCAGTAGTTTTTTTTTCCCCTACATGAATTCATGCCCGCCTAAGGGGTCACAGGCCGAGGTTTGCAAACCGGGAGCGCTCTGCTGCTCACAGACGCCTGCACTGAGCCTCTCACTGCCCTCA